GATCCAGGAAGCTAGTCCCAGTCCCATCTCTGCTTTGGCCTCTGTGACCCCCCCGCATTCCTGAGCAATGGAGGTATAGTCTTCCCTGGTGATGGCCCCTCCCTGGCATTGGGTGTACGCCTCCTTCTTAGCTTTGAGACATTCCTGGATGCTTTTGGTGAGCCGTTGAGGCTTTTGAGCACTCTTGCACCCTTTGATCCATGTTGGGATTACCTCCCTTTGGGCTTGGAGGATTATCTCCTTAAGGAGCAACCTCTCTTCTTGGACACCTGGCTCCCCTCCCCTCCGGGACCTCAGTGCTTCCCCGACTGTTCTCCTTAGCTCATTGAAGTTTGCCCTCCTGAAATCTAGGGCTGCTGCCTTGCTGCAGGCCTTGGCCACCTTGCGCTGAATGGTGAATCCCAGCAGGCAATGATCGCTGTCACCCAGGTGGTCGAGCACCTGGAACCCCTCTCACCAGGTCATTGCTTGTGGTCATAGAAGGCCACCAGCTTGGTCTGGTGACTAATTAGCAGGAGCAAACTCCACTGTGATTTAGTCTGGGAGCCCATGTAGCAAAGACTAATATCGCTTTAACAGCTGACAAATTAGCCAAATTGTTCTGTGTACAAATCACAGGACTCTGGCAGGGATTGAATACATTGGCAGACCACAGTGTCCTGAGTTATGCCAGTGACTGATTAACCAGATTTCACTGTAGTGCCAATTCCCCCAGGTTTTTCGGGCAGGTTTACCGAGGTCAATTTTTCCCCTAACTGCCAAAAGGTCACATGGGAAAGAACATTGGGCCACATCCCAAACTGTATAAAATGATGCATCTCAGAAGAGCTATGAAGTTTTGCACCAGCTGGTATGGCACAGACCAGGAGTTTGCTTTTGATAAGATTCTTGAGAATCTCATTTTATAATCATAGTAATGGATCAACTATTGACTATTTTAGCTATATGGTTTTAATACAGTGAATCTATTCAGCCTTGAACGTCTCCCAGCCCCTTTTCAATGCTTTTTTATTCTCTTTCCCTCCCCTTTGATCACGGAGGACAATGAAAAGACAAAAAACCCCAAAATGCTTTACACCTCCATAAAATACTGCTCACTTAATCCAGATAACTCATACCCATATGGCTCATGGATATGGATGTCAAGGTGAGGTCTCACTGGTGATTTCACTGAGGGTGAAGTTACACGTTACACTTTGACATGTTAAATCTGTGTAATGTTAGCCAGTGTTAAAGTTAGCACTGCTGTGAGCAGTTGCACATTAAAAGTTAATACCATTTCTTTCTTGCATCGCTTGGACTTGCCACTACAGAGCTGGTGAGCAGCCAACATACCTGGGTTTTATCCCTGCTATGGGTGGTGGCGTGCTGGAAGTAATGCAACCTGGGATGCCAGAGAACTGCAGTTTGCTTGTTTTACCTCCTTGGAGCAGACTGAAGTTACCCTAACAGAAGCTACATAGCATGGCCCGGAGTTAACCCTCTTCTGAAGTGGTGTAACTTTGAGAGGTTCAGAAGGCACTTAGCATGAGCTTTAACATGTGATCACTCATCTTATAAGTGCCCTTAGTATGGTCTGAGTCTATATATGCAAACCCACAGGTATGGTTTAATGACCTTTGTTTCTCCCAAGCTGCTAAAGGCTCCCCAGCAGTTTCTGTAGCAGGGAGCAATGAACAACTATGCAAGTCCTAACAAGCCAGGAGTCAGATTGTGAAGAGGCTAAGGACACACCGCATAGGAAAGGAGCATCATGACCTCAATGGAGCAGGAATTATCATATAGCATGAGTAGAAATCCCCCACCCAAAAAGGATTCTTAATTCTGTAGACACGAACATTACAACTCCCTCTCTTTGGGGCCACCTTGAATTTGGGGTAACCCAAAGCATTCGCTCTGTTGAACATTAGACAGTGTAGGGAGCTTTGGGAGTTAGCTCTGTTTGCAGTGAAAAGGATCCTCCTTTTAGGCACCTGTCCCTCCCTCCCCCTGACCCTCAAGTCAGATGTAACATGGGGGACAACCAGGTTCGCAAATACGTGCGTTTCTCACCTTGTCCAGGTAGGTGTAAAGGACATGTTCTGGAGGAAGAGACCCATTCCTGAGTTCCTCAGAGAGCTCCATGAGAGGGAGAGAGAGGACGCGATCAGCTTCTACCCCGGGATTCTGAGGGAGGGAGGGAGGAAACACAGGATTTGGACTTTATGGTTAAAGAAATACCACAGAACAGCACAGAGGTTCGAAAGAGCTGCTGCATTCCACCCCAGAAGCATCTGCATTTCAGCAGCATGTGAAGCAATCCCTCTGTGTTGCCCCAGTTTAATATGTGTGCAATAAACACGACCTAGGTAGGCTGAGATGCACTACCACAGTTTGCCTTACATTTAAAATGCATACAACAAGGTTTAATTAAGGCAACTTCTGCCATTTAAAAAACATTATAAGTGTCTCATGTATATTGAGTGATAGCTTTAAAGTGTTTTAAATGGTGACAATTGTCACATGTATAGGCACCTGTTGATGGCAAAGTTGCAAAACATCCCTGCAGTCCCTTTTCAGACCTCAAACATACATAAGTACAGTTGTGACAGTTTATGGGCAGATAAAAATGGGGGGTTTATAGCTTTCCAATAAATGCACCAGGTTTATCATCTGCCTGAGGCATTTTTTTTTTTAAGTTTGTTCAAACTTTGCTGGGCTTGCAAAAACCAGCACAACTAACTCCACCCTTAGTGAAAAAAAAATTCAAGCCAGGCTTTTCAAGACTCTGTTGCATTAAAAGAAACCCCAAACACTCCCCCTCGCCCCACTACACACACCATTGAAATCTGGCACTGACACACAGATTCCACTTAGCTCAAGCTGGAGCTTTTTCTTTCCCAGGACAAGACTTGTCTAACATCTCTCCCAGCTACAGTTGGCCCAAGAAAAGATATTACATAAAAGTCCTTGCCTATCATATATTTCCCGAACTATCAGGGCTATAGCAGCACTCCAACATAGATTCTATTGCAACATTTGAATGGCCTAGATCAGGGATTTTCAACCCAGGCATTGTTTTCATCAGTTGATGTGAAGGGTGCATGGTGGTCTGGGAGAAATTTTGAAGCGTGACAGTGGTTCGTGAGTTAAAAAAAAATGAGTACAGATGCTGGCAGGTGTAAGGGCAAAATGGCAGGTGTTACGAATTACGCTTTTAAAGCTACGTGCAGTTGGCTCTAGCCTGGGGCAATTCAAAGGAGTCTCCTTAACAACACTTTGCCCAGAACTCATATCTACTAAGCCCCTTTACCGCCAGAGCAACGGTCCTCTCTCCTCCTCCCTGGAGTTGTCCATGGGTGAATTCACCCAGCGCCGGCTGTGGAGTCGTTCCGGGAGGACGAGTGTGGCACTCTGTCGCCAGCAAGCCTAGGGTCTCATCTGGATCGCCAAGAACTGTTACGAATTACGCTCTTAAAGCCACGTGCAGCTCGCTCTAGGCTGGGGCAATGATCACGCAGAGCAAGTATCCAAAGTCAAATACAGAATCTTTATTTGCTTGAGCGAGGTGCCTCTACAGAGAGGGACCCCGCCTACTAGTTATAATACTTTTTTATACTTTCTAAGTGCATAAGCATTAGTTTGTGATTAGCTCGTGCTTGTAAAAATACCTAATCATTTATTAACTAAATCACTATTCTTTCCAGTCAAGTGGCACTGTGGGCGTGAACACCGAAGTTTAACTCTTGTGAATTATATGCCCCCTATATTTTGTCTTAAGATTTTTTTTATTTAACAAAAACAAATTATGCCCGACTTTCAAGGTTCTCTTGTTGATGTGACTCCCCTGTTGACTGGATTCAGCTAGTTTCATATCTTATCAGTAGCCCTCACACAGTAACCTTCACACAGTACTCCTTTTCCCTCCATGCTATCTCCTAAGTGCTGTGTCTGCTTTTATGAAATGGAGGTGAAAGGATAAAGAAATGGCCTCACTTTTAGCATTACAAAGCCTTGCTTTAACCCTACAAGATTCATATACAACACAGGATAGTCATCAAGGAGGACCAGTGTCTGGGTTAGGGTTGGAGGAAGGAATGTGCAAAAGGAAGAGACAGATGGCCTACAAACTCCTTTGGAGGTAGTAGTGGGAGGCTGTGAGAGCTCCAGTCCTGTCTCCAAGATCATGGCAAAGGCCAGCAGAGATGACAGAATGCAATCATTCATCATAAACTGATTTTGGCATCGTCATTGCTACCCCCCTCTCTGAATAAATCTCTGCTGTGTTTTCAAACTCTGAGACACATGAAGCAGACTTTGGCAAATCTTTTGACCCATTGCCAGGCTTGACTGTAGCTTTAACATGTGATCGCTCATCT